TGACCTGTACAGACGTTCACCCGGACATCGCGCTGGCGAAGACATCTGGCATGCAAGGATGGGACACCCGAGCAACACAACATTGAACAACATGATAAGAGCAGGAGTACTTGATAAAGACTCGCTACTCCTACCCGACGGCAGAGAACTTCAACGAGTTCGAGGAACATGCTTTACCTGCCCTGGATCCGACTTACCTCATCAGCCGTTCGTCTCTCACCACAACCCAAGCGCGCCGGCATACGCGCCACTGGAGAAGGTCTACAACGACATACTGTTCAACCGTGAAAATGGACAAGGAGCGTACAACTACGTCATCACGTTCATCGACGCCGCCACCCGTTACGTCTGGCACCTCAACCTTCCGAGCCGTGACATGGCCTTCGAAGACTTCGTCGCCTGGCTTCCAATAGCAGAACGAGAATCAGGAGTGAAGCTGAAAAGCTTCCAGTCAGACGGGGGAGGCGAATATCAGTCACAGAGGTTCAAGCAATACTTGGCAGAGAGAGGCATCAAGCGACTCATCTCCCTTCCCTACGCTCATCAACAGCAAGGCGTGGCAGAAAGAATGAATAGGACCCTCCAGAACACCATGCGCAAGCTGCTACGTGGCATGCGGCTACCCAACCACCAGTGGCCCGAGGCGATGGACCACGCTTACATGCTGCACAACTTGCTCTCGTCATCAACGCATCACCGCATCTGCTGTGGACAGGAAAATTGGGCAACACAAAAATGTTACGAGTGTTCGGTTGCATGGTACAGTACCGACCCCCAGCTGCACGCGCCGGTCGATTCTCCCAACGCGCACAATGGGGACTACACCTGGGCATTGAAAAACACTACAACACGTGGAAGATTTTTGACGTCCACACGAAGGAAACAGTGGCAGCACGTGACGTGATCTTCTACGAACGTCTCACACTTCCGATGTACCTGTACAACTTGGAAAATTCACGCGACGTCACAGGCGGATTTCGTTGCGGAGATAACTACTACAACGGGAGCTAGACTACGGGCTAGGCACGGGTGCTCGTGTGATCTCTGCGTTCGTTGGTCCTTCGTCGTTTTCCTAGAGCACACACTGCTTGCTAGTTCACGGGGCAAGTTGGCAAGAGTTTCACTAGAGAAAGTTGACAACAATAGTACAATGAAGTTGGCATAGCAAGACTACATCAGAGCTAGCATTCAGGTCGGTCGACTGCCAGCGCAGCATGGTCGACCGCGTTCCAGCACGACTTGGTCGACCGCGCTCCAGCAGGGCAAAGTCGACGGCGTGCCAACGCACCAGGTTGACGGCGTGCCAGCGTTGCTCCCGCAGTACAGCATCGCACCCGCTTCGCAGGTGCTCGCAGATGATTGGCGTGCTGAGCCTTGTCATCTGCACAACGCACACACCACGTCAACCTCGTGCTGACGACTCCACCTGATCAGCCACGTCGACCTCGGGATACCACCACCGAGGTCGGACTCGCCAACTTCGCCTGGGCGACCGTCGCACTCTTCCGCAGAACCTCGTCACCCAGGTAACCTGGTCGACCGGGCAACCACGTCGACCAGCTGCTCCTGTATGTGCCCGTCGACCTCCCTAGTCGACGACCACTCCAAGTCGACCTCACCAGGTCGACCACGCCCCTGGTCGACCAGCTCCAGGTCGACGTCACTCCTGGTCGACCAGCTCCACGTCGACCAGCACTCCTGGTCGACCAGTTCCACGTCGACCAGCGCAGTTGTTAGCCGACCACCCAAGTCGGCTACCCGAAGTCGGCGTCACCAAGTTGACGCCCAACTACTCGACGCCCTGCTGCTCGGCGTCCTGAGTCGAGGTCGACGTCGGCCCCTCCTCCGTCGACCACCAGGTCTGGTCGACCACCAGGTCTGGTCGACCACCAGGTCGACATCATGCCTGGTCGACCAACCACCAGGTCGACCAGCAGTCCTGTCAGCCGACCACCCAAGTCGGCTGCCCCCAAGTCGACGTCACCAAGTTGACGTCCTCCACAGGTCGACTTCCTTGTCAACCTGCTCTGAAGTCGGCACCACCCTGAAGTCGGCGCCCTTGCAGTGGCCCCCGTGCAGGTCGACCTCCTTGTCAACCAGCTCGCCCACTGCTGCAGGTCGGCTGCTCCCCTCACACCCGACCACGAAGTCGGCTCCGCCCAAGCGAGGACGGGGCCAACACACAACTCCCGTTGACATTCGTGGGGACCGAGCCTTCGCTTCGGAAGCAGATGAAGCTGACTGGGACTAGCAGAACGTGGCAGAGCTTCGGAAGAAGACGGACCTCTTCCCTACTGTTCGGTGGATATCTCAATGGATGACGACAACCCTCGCGAAAGCATCAACGCCGAAGTCTTCTACGACTTCGCTGACAACGGTCACGTTACACATCACCCGGTCGACACCAACATTTATGAACGCATAGGGCCCAATTCCCTACCTGATCCAGAAGCGGGAGACGAAGCAGCTTATCCAGAGGACCCAACACTCCCCCGCTACACACAGAGCGGGCTGCAGATACTGGGACTCGTCACCGCCGTCCACGGAGCAGCGCCACCAAAGGAGCCTGCAACGGTTCAGCAGGCTCTGGGGGGGGGGGGAGCATAAGGAAAAATGGCGCGAAGCCATGGACAGGGAATTAAAAGCACTGGAAGAACGCAACACCTGGAAGGTCGTACCCATCGGAGTGGCACGCAATAAGACGATACTCACCGGGAAGGGTTTTCCGCGTGAAAACAAAGGCAGATGGAACCATCGACAAGCTTAAAGCACGCTGGGTCGTACGTGGCGTTGACCAAGAACACGGACGAGACTTTACCGAGACTTTTGCACCAGTTAGCCGACACACCTCACTGCGGAATCTCCTCGCGATAGCCGCTATGAAGCGAAAGAAGCTCCGCCAAATCGACGTCGCCAGCGCCTTCCTCTACGCCCCTGTCGATGCTGAAATCTTCGTCGAACAACCACATGGGTCTAACGCAGACCCTAACCAAGTCTGTCAGCTGCAAAAATCCCTGTACGGAATCAAGCAGGCTCCGAGGCTGTGGCAACAGTACCTACACGCCCGAATAATCCGCATCGGATTCCGCCAACTACCGCACGACCAAGGCATGTACCGACTCACGAAAGGCACCGACTACATCCTTCTCATCGTCTACGTGGACGATCTGCTCTACATCGGCTCGACCGACGGCATCACGACCTGGTTCGAAGGGGAGCTGCAGCGGGATCTCACACTCACCGTCTCCTCCACTGTAACACAGTATCTCGGGCTCAACATACAGGAAGGAGAGAACGCGATCTACCTCAGCGCCGCGAAATATGCCGACACCATCGCCAAGCGCTTCGGACTTACCCCAGCCGCTATCTCTACGCCCTACCGCTACACCGCCGGAAATCACAAGGAAACAACAGCTCCGCTCAAAACCGCCGGCGTACGCGATTATCAACGAAAGCTGGGATGCCTGCTCTTCGCAGCCGTCACCTGTCGGCCGAACATATCATACTCAGCGAGCCAACTCGCTACCTACCTCAAGAAGCCTGAATCAGAACACATGGCGGAGCTCGATCGCGCACTTCACTACCTCGTCAGCACCTTGTCAATCGGCCTGACCTACTACAAAACCGAAACCACGACGCCCAAGCTAATCGGCTACGTGGATGCCGACCACGCCGGCGACTCCGACAACAGGCGTTCGCGTACCGGCTACATCTACCGACTCGAGCCTATCGGGCCTATCTCGTGGCAGTCGAGCAAACAGGAACTAATCGCCCTCTCCTCAGCTGAAGCAGAATACATTGCACTATGCTCAGCCACCAAGGAAGGACTGTACCTTCGCGAACTGCTGGAAGAAGCGAAGCTGGCCCAGTTACCCAGCTTCTCTCTGTTCTGCGACAACCAATCTGCAATTCGCATAGCGAACAAGAACGGGTTCGCGAATCGGACGAAGCATATTGCTCTGCGATACTTCTTCGTGAAAGACGAGATCGAGAAAGGGAGACTCGAGCTATCCTACTGCCCCACGTCCGAGATGGCAGCCGATTATTTGACCAAGAAACTCGGAAAGCATAAATTCGAGTACTGCATGTTGCTGACCGGACAAGGCCGCGTCACCAGCAACGACACTCCAGAAGCGAAGGGGAGTGTTGGAAACAAGTAATTTAACGCTTCCTATGTGTCGTAACATCGAGCCGTAAACGAGGCAAGCCACAGCGAAGCAATGGCGAGTCAACCGAGGAGGTTGACAGAAAAGTAAAAGCCGGAGGTTACGCGAAGGTCAAAGGTCAGCGACCTTTGACTTGACAAATACAGCGCGACAGCAAGGACAAACAACTGACTCGATATTGAGCAGTTGCCCGAGTCGTCACTGTATCGAACCGCAACAGCAACAGCAAAACGGTTATTGCATCCTTTTGTATTCCTTGTAATCTTATAAAAGCTTGTATTACCTTTTTATAAAAAAAAATCCTATCTTGCTCTCACATACCAGCGCAAGGTGGTTCAACAACTTATCATTAAACGCTTCCGCAATACAACATTCCTATCAGAGTCTTAGCCTTGAAAGATCCTAAGGGCTTTTCTCAGCCCAACACTCCTTAGAAGAGTTTGACCAGTTTGAATTCGCTTGACCAGTGGAAGCAGGCATGTGGCTCCAGGGAGTAGACAGGCTGGCAGCACCTCCTGTGTATTCCGCTCTCACGAGACCGCGTGGCAGAAGAATACCGTCCTGCCAGCTGCACTGCCAGCACGGAGGTAACGCCCCGACGTGATCCCTGATGCTGCAAAGCGCAGATACGACCTGCCCCATGTCGGGACGAAGTGAGGGCAGCGCCACCCGCAGGAACGTGCCAAACATCTGCTCCAGCCCCGCCAGCATCTCCCCTGCACTCACCTCCCCACCCGCAGCACAACCAGCAGCAGCAGCGGCAGCGGCGGCAGCAGAACCAGCAACAACAGACGAATAAGAAGCAGAAGAAACACTGTTGGAAGCACAGATGGCTTAGCAATTCCCCAACAAGAGGGGAGAGGGGGGGGGGGAAACGCGGAAAAGAGAGACAGGGACGATGGGAGAGAGGAACGGGAGGAATTTGGACGAGGATGGAGCGGGCAGATGGTAAAAGCCCGGACAGGAATTTGGAAACAGAGGGAAGGGAGGGTACGCAAGGGAGTGATGAAGCACATGAATGGGGGAAACTGAGAGCAAGGAGGGGGTAAAGTGAGTGCAAGGAGGGGGTAAAGTGAGTGCAAGGAGGGGGTAAAGTGAGTGTAAGGAGTGGGTAAAGTGAGTGCAAGGAGGGGGTAAAGTGAGTGCAAGGAGGGGGTAAAGTGAGCGCAAGGAGGGGGTAAAGTGAGTGCAAGGAGGGGGTAAAGTGAGTGCAAGGAGGGGGTAAAGTGAGTGCAAGGAGGGGGTAAAGTGAGTGCAAGGAGGGGGTGAAGCGAGCGCAAAGAGGGGGTAAACTGAGGGGAAGAAGGTGGGGAATTTAGGGGAAGCAGGTGGGGAAACGAGGAGAAGAAGGTGGGGAAACGATGAGAAGCACGTGGGGAAACGAGGGGAACCAGGTGGGGAAACGAGGGGAAGCAGGTGGGGAAACGAGGGGAAGCAGGTGGAGAAATGAGGGGAAGCGGGTAGAGAAATGAGGGGAAGAATGTGGGGAACTGAAGGGAAGCAGATGGGGAAATGAGGGAAGCAGGTATGAAATGAGGAGGGTGCAGAATTGATGGGAAACAGGTGGGGAAACGAGGGGAAGCAGGTGGGGAAACGAGGGGAAGCAGGTGGGTAAGGAGGGGAAGCAGGTGTAGAAATGAGGGGAAGCAGGTGGAGAAATGAGGCGAAGCGGGTAGAGAAATGAGGGGAAGAATGTGGGGAACTGAAGGGAAGCAGATGGGGAAATGAGGGAAGCAGGCAATGAAATGAGGGGGGTGCAGAAATGATGGGAAACAGGTGGGGAAACGAGGGGAAGCAGGTGGGGAAACAAGGGGAAGCAGGTGGGTAAGGAGGGGAAACGAGGGGAAGCAGGTGGAAATATGAGGGGAAGCAGGTGGGGAAATGAGGGGAAGCAGGTGGGGAAACGAGGGAAGCAGGTGGGAAAACGAGGAAAGCAGGTGGGGAAATAAGGGGAAAAATGTGGGGAAATAAGGGGAAGCAGGTGGGGAAACGAGGGAAAGCAGGTGGGGAAACGAGGCTAGCAGGTGGGGAAACGATGGCTAGCAGGTGGGGAAATGAGGGGAAACAGGTGGAGAAATGAGGGGAAGCAGGTGGAAAAATGAGGGGAAGCAGGTGGAAAAATGAGGGGAAGCAGGTGGAGAGATGAGGGGAAGCGGCGTTAGAGAGTTGGGTTAGAAATGGAGGGGAGAGGGGATGTGGGGGGAAGTTTTGTTTAATTTCGCTCACAGCCATGGAGGGATGGCGAGGGAAGGTAACAAAGCGGGAATGCAAGGGCAGGAAATGGAATGCAAGGGATGGGCAGGTGAGTGAAGGACTGGGGAGGTAGGCGTGACGCGGGGAAGCGTGATGAGGGGAGCGGAGGCGTGACGCGGGGAGGCGTGATGAGGGGAGGCCCGACGAAAGGAGGAAGAATCGCGAGGAGGGGAGGCGCGCGGGTGCTGCGAGGGGGAGGGAGGCTTCACTCGGGGAGGCGCGATGAAAGGAGAGGAGGCGCGAGGCGCGACGATGGGAGGGGAGCTCGACGACTAGAAGCACTCAGAGATCCGTGGGCGACGACGAGGTGCCACTTCAGTGAAGTGGCTTCACGCATCGCGATCACACTGACTATTTTGTGTACACGCTTGTATACGCTCGGGTACGAGAGCTTAGCTTTCAGGCAAGAAGGACTGTCGGGCGATACACGCAGATGAATCGGAGCGCAAGGCGCCTACGACGGGCGGCATACGAAGGCGATCGTCGCGATCGCGAAACGCGATGAGAGGAAGGAGATGAGAGGAAGGAGAAACGCGGATAACTCGCGGCAATCACGATCAACAAGCGTGCCCATCACTATCGCACACGCAAAACAGTTCCGCACCAGCCGAGATTTCCAAACCCAGGCAAGTGGACATCCCCTCTGAGGGAATGGAATAGTATTGAAGGAACATGTGCTATTTCCTCGTATACGTCTATTTCATACAGTTGCATGAGGATGGTTTTACATTAACAGAAAAAGTGTAAGAGAAAGAACGCCTAAAAACATCCAGCAATTACGTTTATTATGGGTCCCGCCATTTTCCTTGCCAAAGTCATAACCAAGGTACTACGGCTTCTGGAGTTTATCCACACCATGGATAATGAAAAGTTTCCCCTTAAACAGCTTGGAACGCTTAATTTTTGCCTTCTTCTTTCCAATAAAGGGCTTCCACTTCTTGGTAATGCGGTCCAACCCCAGTGCCTTAAACACCTTGCGACCGTTCCCGTCCTTCAACACCTTGGCCTTATTGATGGCATCCTCGTCGTAGACCCCGTCAAGCAGATTAGCCCGAATCATCGAAGCATAGTGGCGAACCTCCTGGCGCTTCAGACTCGGATTCATCAAGTCGGCGAGGGCATCAGGGGCCGCGGACGCGATTGCGTTGTCGTCAGGCAGCAGAACGGTTTTGCCGTTCGCTGAGGCGAGGAAGTCGTCCGTTGGGTTCCAATTCGTCTCTGAATCACACGAAAAAAACAAAAAACAAAAAAACAAAAACAAAAAAAACAAGAGAAAGAAAGAAAAAAACGTGAGAATATAACTAGGCCGCAGCAAAGGCAAGAGACGAAGAACATCCTAGGGAGAACTCCGCTGAATATATACGCAATATCTTCGCTAGATTAGTGCATCTTCGTACCCAGTTGAGGGATGAGAGTGTCAAGAAACATGGCGCTGGCCCGATATTGGCTACTGATTTCGGGGTCGTCAAGCGAGGTCCGAACGCTCTTCACCTCCGCGATCAGCTCCTCCTTGCTGGGCCGCCCCGCCGCAGCAGGCGCCAGCAGCAATGCGAGCGTAATGGCAAAAAAAGGAAGCTGCCATGACAAAACCATGGTGCTAATGAATCTGGGGTGAAGAAACTGAAATGTGTCGTCTGCTGGAAAATAGATATCCCCGTTGCTCGTTGCTTGTGAGTGACTCTCAGGTCCCACCGACACTCTTGAATGGGTGGGAGGGATTGTGCAAGGAGCGAGGGAGAGGCGAAACTCGACGCACCTGGCGGAAAGCTGGGAGAGGCGAAACTCGACGCACCTGGCGCAAGCTCCATCAGTGGTGCTGCCAACAGACACTGGTACAGTTGATGCCTCTTCCCCACTCGACTCTAGATCTGCTAGGTCGCATAGTAGTAGTCACTTTACGTATATGTGCCCGAAGGTGTATTCAATGTTCTCTATCTAATCAGTAAAACTAATCTATATGTTCTAGTAGGAGGTTTATAGAGAGCACTACTCCTACTTCATTCACGCTTTGGGCATCTGCCCGTAGCATTGGTAGTTGGCCCAGGCTTGATACTTCGTGTGCGTGCCTGAGGTACGGTTGCCAGGTACAGGTGTTGCCTGGTTCAGTCAAATTCCAGGTTGGGAGCTACTGAACGAAACATCTACCTCTTGCTCGTCGAGCTTCGCCACCTGCAGAAAGGGACCACATAATCGTCCATAGTGGTAACATGTGCCATATATGGTGCACATGGTTACCATTCTCGAAACGATTTGTCCATCGCGCGTCGGCGCTTCCCGAACGCAACCTCAACTCCCCCTAATCTCGTCGAGAACGTGCAAAATCGATCGTCAACCGCACTAAAAAACGTCTATCATTATTCAAAACTTTCCAGACCCTATTAAAACATGTATAATTTTGAAATTGTTACACTTTCTAAAATGACTTGTTGTGAAAGCGCAGCAGCTTGTACGCAGCACTAAAAGGCATCGTTGAAGCGCTATTCGCCCTTCTCCGACTCCAAAAGAAGGGGTTTCGGCCATTTGGCCTCACCCACGTTTTCATTTTTGAACTTTCAAGTTCAGTTTCCCCCCTACCCCTCGCATCCTTGGACATGATTTACGCAACTGTTTATATATATTGTTAGAGTGAGGACCTTGGATAGGATAGGAATGCCTTAGAAGAGTTTGGTAGCGGAAGTCTTAGTTGTAGGAACTCTGATCTTAGTAAATGTAGATGACAAAGTTGATTAAAACAAATATTACACACATAATAAATAGTTCTAGTTAGCTATGTACTCTGAGGGGTACATTCCCTTATTCTAACTGCTTTACAGGCATTTCTACAGTGATTCTAACTGTTCCACTACTTTCTTGTTACCGAGTCGCTGCATGTAACCTGTACGTACGGTTACGCCTGTTGCCATTCCTCGATGGTAGGTCAATCGTCGGTCCAGATGGTCAACAGTCGCCATAGTTGACTCTTGCGACTGTTGACCTTCCTGCCCTTGTTGCGGGCTGATTCGATACTGCTGTTGTTGCTGCTTCGATAGGGACTGGTGCGATACTGCTGCACCTACGGGAATGCTAAGTGTAATTTGTCAAACTTATATGCTGCTTGTTATCTAGGCTGTAGTGAGGTAGCCCATATGGGGTACAACCCAATTAGGGTTTCCTACTTGTACCCACATTCCTGCTAGTGCATTCATTCTCGTTTTCTATCTTTCACATGGTTTCAGAGCAGGTTCCCTAGTGGGAACGTTTTTTTTTTTTTTTAGGGCCCACCACGATAATTTCTTCCTGCCCTGCCCGAAGCGCGCCTCGCGCCTGCCTCACCTGCGCCGTCACGCGCCCTGCCCTACTGCCGCCCGTAGCGGCCCTGCCCTCCCGGCCCGTCGCGGCCCTGCCCTAACGGCCCGTCGCGGCCCTGACCTAGCCGCCCGTCGCGGCCCTGCCCTGCCGCCCCCCGTTGCGGCCCTGGCCTCGCCGCCCGTCGCGGCCCTGCACTGCAGCTGCCTTGTCGCGGCCCTGCCCTGCTGCCGCCCTGTCGCGGCCCTGCTCTGCCGCCGCCTCGTCGCGGCCCTGCCCTACAGCCGCCCCGTTGCGGCCCTGACCTAACCGCCCGTCGCGGCCCTGCCCTGCGCTCGCTCCTGGTAAGCGCGCCGCCCCTGCCCTGCCCGTCGCGTCACCCTAGGGCCACCGCGTCGCCCTGCCCTGCCCATCGCGTCGCCCTAGGGCACGCGCGCCGCCCCTGCCCTGCCCGTCGCGTCGCCCTAGGGCCCGCGCGCCGCCCCTGCCCTGCCCCTCGCGTCGCCCTAGGGCCCGCGCGCCGCCACTGCCCTGCCCGTCGCGTCGCCCTAGGGCCCGCGCGCCGCCCCTGCCCTGCCCGTCGCGTCACCCTAGGGCCACCGCGCCGCCCTGCCCTGCCCGTCGCGTTGCCCTAGGGCACGCGCGCCGCCCCTGCCCTACCCGTCGCGTCGCCCTAGGGCCCGCGCGCCGCCCCTGCCCTGCTCGTCGCGTCGCCCTAGGGCCCGCGCGCCGCCACTGCCCTGCCCGTCGCGTCGCCCTAGAGCCCGCACGCTGCCCTTGCCTGCCCGCGCGCCCTCCTTTGCCCGCGCGCCGCCCTACTTGCAGCACGCCGCCCTACTCTGGCCGCGCGCTGCCCTTCACTGACGGTGCGCCGCCTCGCCCTACCCTAGTACCTGTTTGTCAAACATTGTATGTTTACTTTGTGTAGGCTATAGTGGGTTTAGCCTTAGGGGGTACAACAAACTTAGGTTTTCCTACTTGTACCCACCTTTCTGCTAGTTTCATCATTCTCCTTCAGTTCAACATTCTAACATGGTATCCGACGCCTAGGTCACGACCTAGGACCGACGTTGGTTAGGGCCCACCGTTCCGCCGCGCCCTTGCGCGACTGTGTCTGATAGTACCTCGCGCCGTCGAGCGCCCTTCCTAGCGCCGCCGTGCGCCCTTCCTAGCGCCGTCGAGCGCCCTTCCTAGCGCCGTCGAGCGCCCTTCCTAGCGCCGTCGTGCGCCTCTTCCTAGCGCCGTAGTGCGCCCCTACCCGCGCCCTCGAGCGCCTACCTCCTAGCGCTCTCGAGCGCCACCCTGCCGCCCTCCCCTACAGGCAGCGCGCGGGCCTCCTCTGCACCCGCGCAACCGCCCCTGGACCCCGAGGCGCGGCCCCTAGCCTCGACGCGACGCCCCCCGCGCGCCCCGCGCGTTGCCACTGGGACCCGCACGCGTCGCCCCTGCCTTGACGCGACGCCCCATCGCGACCCGCGGGCGTCGCCCCTGCCTCGACGCGACGCCCCCGCGCGGCCCGCGCGTCGCCACTGGGACCCACGCGCGTCGCCCCTGCCTCGGCGCGACGCCCCCTAGCGACCTGCGCGTCGCCACCGGGGCTCGCGCGCGTCGCCCCTGCCTCGTCGCGACGCACCCACGCGACCCGCGCATCGCCACTGGGACCCGCGAGGGGTCGCCTCTGCTCGCCGCGGCGCCCTGCCCTACCCCGCGCCCGCCCTTGGGACGGCCGCCCCTGGCCCCTGGACCAGCCGACACTGCAGCAGCCGCCCCCGGCCCCTTGAGCAGCCGCACCTACAGCCGCCCCTGGACCCTGGAGGAGCCGCCCCTGCAGCGGCCGCCCCTGGCCACCTGGAACAGCCGCCACTGCAGGAGTCACCCCCTGGAGCAGCCGCCCCCGGCCCCTGGAGCAGCCGCACCTACAGTCGCCCCTGGCCCCTGGAGCAGCTGCCGTCGCGGTCCAGCCCCGCCCTGCAGCAGCTGCCGCGGAGCTCCCTGCCGCGGCCCGGCCCCGCCCTACAGCTGTAGCGGCCCTGCTGTCGGTGCCGTCTTGCGCCTGCCCTTCCTACCACTGGTGAGCACTGCCCTGCCCGCACTGCCACTGCTACTGTTTTTACTGCTCCTGCTGCTACTGCTGTTACTGCCGCTACTGCTGCTACTGCTGCTCCTGGCGTGGCCAGATGCAGCTCCACGGCCATCCGCGTGTGTCCCTTACGCCCCAGCAGCTTCGTGAGTGGTACGCCAGTTGGGGTTGTCGGGGTGGCCGTAGTGGGAGTCGTCCTGGAGTGGGTAGTTTGGGAACTTCTTGTAGTGGCCCGGTGCAGCAGCAGCGTCGTCCGCGCGACCCTCTTTCGCCCCAGCAGTTTCGTGAGTGGTACGCTCAGAGTAGAGGGTCGCTGAGTACTGCGCGCTGCCCGTACGTTATTAGCACGGGTGCCAGGACTGGTCAGCCTTGCGGGACGCGTGGTCACACAGAGTCCCACTGCTTCGCCCGTCTGACTGACGCTTGGCGTACAGAGTTTGGCGACGACGCTGAGCTCCCCGACTGGGTGGAGCTGCTTGGACAGAGGGTAGATATCTTTGCTCTTCCCTATGATGCTATTCTCACTGCCATGTATGCATTGTCTACTAGTACCGAGGGAGCCTGTCACCTGTGTGTGCCGCCTGACCCCGGTATCCAGTCTGCTGCTCTAGGTACTGGTGAGGCTGCCGCACTAGGTGCTCGTGTGTCGGTTGCCTCAGGTGCTGGTGAGGCTGCCGCTCTAGGTGCTAGTGTGTCTGTTGCCCCAGGTGCTGGTGAGGCTGCTGCTCTAGGTGCTCGTGAGTCTGCGCCCCCTGGTACTGAGACTACTGAGGCACTGCACACCTTCATACTGGACTCAGGTGCTTCTCGCTGTTTCTTTCGTGACCGCAGTGCCCTTGAGCAGCTTGCTCGGCCAGTTGCTGTCTCCCTTGCTGACCCCTCTGGGGGTCCGGTCATTGCGACCTCCTCCACTGTTCTTCCTTGTCCTGCGGTTCCGTCGGGCACACTGTCAGGTCTCCACCTCCCCTCGTTCTCTACGAACTTGGTGGCGGGCTGTGCGCTCCAGGACGGGGGTGTCCACCAGTTCACCCCTGCCTACGAGCGCGTGACACACTGCACGTGTGCTCGGACGGGCCGTCACCTGGCTACCTTCACTCGGCAGCCGGGGTCGGACCTGTACACACTGACCACTGAGTCCCCTCAGGTAGCTGCGTCTGCGTCTGCTTCAGGTCAGCTGTCTGCCCCCTGCTCGTGTCGCTCTCTAGCACACGAGACCGTCCTCTGGCAC